CCTTGTACTGGGACCCACATTCTACACTTGGTTTAACTTGGCAGACAATGTTCTGACCTTTTTGAACTTTCCATAATAATTGATCATTTTGTGTGTCATTGGCAAACTTTGCCATCAGAAAGCTGTCAACGTTCACAGCTCAGAGACCTAGATCTGTCTGATGGAGACACGACACCCAGGTGAATGCCCGTATCCAGTATTGTACCCAAATCATGTAACCATTTTTCACTACTGCAAGTTTTCATTCTGTTGGAAAAAAAAAAGGCTGCTAAAATGTACACATTTTAAAATGATATAACAAACAGAATATATCAGCCACTGCAAATTTTAAAGAGACACTCCACTACCCAAGTAAACAATAAATAAGTTGCTGTTTTATACACATACCCCTAATGAATATATGCATGTATTTAAGCATATAATTTTCACTGGCGGTATATCTAACATAGGCGTGCGCAGCCTATTGCATTAGGGTGTGCACCCTAAAGCACAAGCCGCATATATATATGTATGTGTGTGTGTGTGTGTATATATATATATATATATATATATATATACACATACACATATATACACACATACACACACTGCTGTGTGTGTGTGTGTGTGTGTGCTGTGTGAGGGTGCTGTTAGTGTGATGTGTGTGTGACGATGCTGATAGTGTGCTATGTGGGTGAGGGTGTTTGTGTGTGCGTGCTTGTGAGGATGCTGTTAATGTACTGTGTGTGAGGGTGCTGTTTGTGTGTGTGTGTGCGCTTGTGAGGGTGCTGTTAATGTACTGTGTGTGAGGGTGCTGTTTGTGTGTGAGGGTACTGGTAGTGTGCTGTGTGTGTGTTTGTTAGGGTCCTGTTTGTGTTTGTGAGGGTACTGTGTGAGTGTGCTGTGTGTGTGAGGGTGCTGTTGTGTGTGCTGTATGTCTGTGGGTGTGTGTATGTCTGTGGGTGCTGTGTATGTCTGTGGGTGCTGTATGTCTGTGGGTGCTGTGGGTGCTGTGTATGTCTGTGGGTGCTGTATGTCTGTGGGTGCTGTGTATGTCTGTGGGTGCTGTATGTGTGTGGGTGCTGTATGTGTGTGGGTGCTGTGTGTGTTGCTGTATGTCTGTGGGTGCTGTATGTCTGTGGGTGTGTATGTGGGTGCTGTATGTGTGTGGGTGCTGTGTATGTCTGTGGGTGCTGTATGTGTGTGGGTGCTGTGTGCTGTGGGTGCTGAATGTGTGTGGGTGCTGTGTATGTCTGTGGGTGCTGTATGTCTGTGGTGTGTCTGTGGGTGCTGTGTGTATGTGTGTGTGCGCTGTATGTGTGTGTGCTGTATGTCTGTGGGTACCGTGTATGTCTGTGGGTACCGTGTATGTCTGTGGGTGCTGTGTATGTCTGTGGGTGCTGTATGTCTGTGGGTGCTGAATGTGTGTGGGTGCTGAATGTGTGTGGGTGCTGAATGTGTGTCTGTGGGTGCTGAATGTGTGTGGGTGCTGTATGTGTGTGTGCTGTATGTCTGTGGGTACCGTGTATGTCAGTGGGTGCTATATGTGTGTGGGTGCTGTGTATGTCTGTGGGTGCTGTGTATGTCTGTGGGTGCTGTATGTCTGTGGGTGCTGTATGTGTGTGGGTACTGTGTATGTCTGTGGGTGCTGTATGTGTGTGGGTGCTGTGTATGTCTGTGGGTGCTGTGTGTCTGTGGGTGCTGTGTGTCTGTGGGTGCTGTATGTCTGTGGGTGCTGTATGTGTGTGGGTGCTGTATTTGTGTGGGTACTGTGTATGTCTGTGGGTGCTGTGTATGTCTGTGGGTGCTGTGTGTGTGTGGGTGCTGTGTGTCTGTGGGTGCTGTATGTCTGTGGGTGCTGAATGTGTGTGTGCTGTGTGTGTTGTATGTGTGTGGGTGGGTTATTGTGGGGGGTGGAGGTGGGGGTACATTAATTGCTATCCCCCCTCCCTTCTTACCTTTTGTAGGGAGGGGGGATCGTGGTCCTGGTGGTCCAGTGGAGGAGGGGATCCTTGCTGCTGTGATCCCTGGTGGTCCAGTGGAGAGTGAACTCTAACCCCTGTGGGGCTAGAGTTCACTGTCGCGAGATTTGAGCGTTGCCGTGGCAACGCTCATATCTCGCGAGAGGAACCCGGCGGAGCTGCCGGCAATAGCTCCGCCGGGTCCTCTCCTGCCTCCCTCCCTGCATGTGGGTCAGTGGGGAGGGAGGCTGAGAGCAGAGCCGGCGCTCGGATAGCGCCGGCTCTGCATGAGCCGACAGGGGAGATCCTGAGATCTCCCCTGCCGGTCTCAATACACATAGGCGTGCGCGGGATTAGGGTGTGCCCAGGCACACCTGGCACACCCCGTGCGCACGCCTATGATATCTAAATATCGAGATCTCTTGTCTGCTGCCTTTGCATTCCCTCCCCTTCTTCCCCAGCACAAACCTTCTGTGGCTGTCCATTCACAGACTTCCCATTGCAGCTCAATGAGAAGTCTTTGCAAGGTAGGTGCTTTGGAAAATGACTCCCTTTTCAATTTAGCTAAACAACCAGGAAGTAACAAGACCTGTTGTCTGATTGACAACCAGAGGGTTTTAACAAGGTTCATTTATAAAAGTAACAATTTAGTTTAAAATCTTAAGTTTTTGTAACAAAAAAAAAGAGGGCACACTCTTCTAGGGCATTTTAACATAATCCCACATTCCAGCCCCCTGAATTTAAACACACTTTTGTTCATCATTTTGTTCATGTGTGTGATTTGTTCATTGTAATCAATTTAAACAATTTTTCAGCTCATTCCCCATGGGTTATTTTTTATACTGAATTTAGCAGTTCACATTTATAGGGACATTACATATTAAAATAAATAAATATATATATTTCCACAATAAATTTGAAAGTAAGAACACTAAAAAAGTATCAGAACAGAATGATTCAAATAAAACAGGTGACAAGCTAATCAAGAGTTAAATTGGTGAAATGCTTAATTAAAACAAAGTGAAAACACTAAGGAAACTAAAATGTGACAAGAACTGTTAAAAAGGCCTTGGTTTTAACCAATGTGGGGTGGAAGAGGGCAGGATGTACCACATTTGGTGGACTTGCCAACCCATTAAAGCATACTGGGGAGAGGTGGAGAATATTATCTCAGGTGCCTTACACCTCACAACGAAGCTGCAACCGGAGTGTGGGTTACTATTTATGGCACTTGACAAGTACACAAAATCCCAGGCACTGATCGCAGCAAACTTGCTGATAGCGAGGGCTTGGAAACAGGTGACTACACCGGAACGAACAGGTCTGTTACAACAAATCACTACGAACCTAGATTATGAAATGATGATTCACACACAATTCAAGCCAACGAAAAACATGATGGAAGCCAAGACATGGTGGGAAGCACACATTAGACCTGGGGCACGAGATGAGCAGGGGGAGAAACACAAATAATAGAAAAGTATACATTTTCTACAGAGGAGAGAGAGGGGGGAAAGAGAGAGACACAGGGACAAGAGTTTATTGGTGACTCGATTGATGGTTGTCACGATTGCGATACACACACAGGCTAACATTAATAAGATGAAGGTGGTAAGTGTGAGAGAGATACCCACACTGTACATAGTTTATGACACTTTGTCATCCTAGACAGTTCACCTACCTCCTTGATTACTGGTCACACAGAGGGCAAACAGGACCCCCCAGGTGCATACTCAGAGAATACAGATGGTTATTGTAATGACAACAAATTGTTACCCTCTGAATTGTGAGATGTCATTGTAAATGCCATAAAGGTATTGATTTTTGATATTGTACTATCTACTACTGTCTTCCCCTCCCTTTTCTTTTTCTGTAACCCATAAAAAAGCTTTGAAAACTAATTTAAAAAAAATATTGAATGAAAAAAAAAAGCATTGGTATTCAGTATAAAACATTTTCTTGCAAAACCGTGTTACAACTGATGTAAGAGATACAGAGAAGTACACTATGTAAAAGTTATATTGAATTTTTTTTCCTCATATTTTTACTTGTATTTACTTGTATGAATGTCACAGTAAAAAAAAAATGGCTCAGTATTTGCTTTGATCACTGATTGCCCTTTCATTGGCTCCTTGGTGTTTTTCAGCCAATCAAAATACAGCTTTCGTCTTATGTGTCAGAATTGTTTTTCAATTTTTATCTCTTGCTTAAAGAACAGGCAACTCAAATGTCAAACATACTTAAACTTCTCAGCAATTTAGCTATATATATATACACTAGATTTCATTTTATGTTTACTATCTGTTTATCTTGCAACAGAGTGTCTTTCTTTATCTTAGTTCTCAGATAATCATTGTTAAGCTCTGTCAATTGCATCTGGAAGTCACCATCGAAGCAGCGTTTAAGGAAGAGGAGACAATTCCGTGCCCTGGCCGTGCCTTGACTGAACTAGATTGTGATATAATATGCAAAATCTTTATCATTAATCAAAAACAAAATGGAACATCACATGAAAAAATGGTTAACGCAAGTTATAGGTACTTTTTTATTGTGTGTATTGTGTTGTAATTTGCAGAGAAAAAAAATAGAGTTCCTCTGTATGGCTTAAAGTCATTTAAATCTATTAGTAAAAAAAAAAATAAGAGAGAGATTAGGTTTTCATAGATAATGTTAAAAAGTCAAAATAAATATTCACTGTTCCAGTGTCAAGGTTATTCACCAAGGAATTGCAAATTATATGCCAAAATATCTGAAGTGGGAAGCATAGTTGATTTGGAGGTTATTGTTTTGCTATTTAGGCCTCAAACATGCAACCGTCTGGCTAATTCCCAGCATTTCACAGTACAATTATTTACCCTATAAAGATTTGATAAGTAAAAGAGAATTGTAGCAAATTAAAAACCAAATGGCGGGGGGCGGAGCTTGACCGCCATGCGGAGAAGTCGCATGAAACCGGTGCTCCTGCAAAGAGGTAAACTTTAAGCCATCCGGACAGCAATTAGAACAAGCCACATACTTACCCACTCCACCGAACTCACGGCTGGACCAGTTTGGGAAAGCATGGAGTCTCCGGACGCACTACCCGAGGCAGGTCCGACTTGCGGTCTAGCAGTTGATGCGGGGTGGAGGATACGGCTGGTCATCCAGCCCCGAAGTCCTGCAGACTCAGACCTCACCCTCCCCTTTGGACTGTTGGGGGTTACCATGGTCCACCATGGCACCCACACAAGCCTGTCATCACATACGCGGGCCCTGGTGGTGAGAAGGGGGCGGGAGAATGCCACAACGCTCCACACCCCCAAGATGGCGGCAACCCACACCACATTCCCTCCTACCAACAAGCTGTCCCACACACCAGAGCAGCGGGCGGCTACCAAGCTCTATACAGCGGCGGAGCAACGGAAGCAGAAGAGGTCAGTGGCAATCAACCAACGACAACAAGCAGTGGAGGGGGCCCCCGTGACAAGTGACAGAGAAAAGCCTTACCCACCCCCTCCAGCAGTAAGCGCCTGCACACAGACTGCAGCGACAGCTAGAGGACGGAGAAGCACTGGCCTTGACCCAGGACCGCAAGACTCCACCACAAGAGAGGGAGGATGAGTGGCATGGACTGATCCAGGGACTAAAAACACTATAAGAACGCTGAAAGCTCCTTACCCAGGCGCAACCATTCTGCCACATTTCACTTCCCCTCTGCTCTCACCACTAGGGGTTACCTGCTGTGGAGATCATCCTAACTAATGGTGTCGTGACTCAAATATAACAATCTGTCACTCCAGACTCAAACATCATTTATCACGCTAATGTGTCATCTTAGGTTTAAACCTTTGTTGCCTAGGTTTGAGCATTATTGAGCTTATGTACTACTTGACTGCTTTATTCCCTTCTAAGCTTGCGTATTCAGCACTAGTATGTTTATCGCATATAAGCCTGATAATCAAAGCATATGTGTCTATAATCCTGCACACAGATTAGTATAGAATCCTAATATATGCCTGTTCGAATCTTGAAACGTTTACCTACCTAACCTATGACTTTCCTACATCATTATAAAATATAAAATGGTGCATGTACTATCAGTAACCCCTATTGTAAAGTTTGATATTACGCATGAGGAATGCCATCGGGGTACCTCATGCTCACCTGTTGTATTCACTTGCACTACAAAAAAAAAAAATGTAAAAAAAAACAAAGAAAAAACAAATGGCATGCTTTAGGCAGACATGCAGTGGATATAACTAAGTTGTAGAATATTACCAAAATTACCTAATTTGGTAAAACTGGGTTTTCAACTCACCATGTTTAACAAATAAACCATTATTTGTGGTAAAGAGATATCATAACGGGGTACCATGGTAATCTGAAAAATGCATTTTATTTCAAATATGCTGTTGGCGGTTGTAACATTAATTACCCAAACGCCCTCAAAACTGGATTGAAATTCCACATATAAATTTGTATCGTCACTTACTAAATTGTCTCGTGCACATATTTCAATCCCAACTCATACTCTAGGCAACACTAGAGAGGAACATTGGTGAAAATTCACTGGCCGTGTATCTTCTGTTGTTGCAATTTTCTACCAAGCTGAATCCAGCTGGCATTATCTACACAATGTTATATGTCACATGGCTCTATCTCCAAGAGACACACTTGTTGTTCCATAAATCCCCCAGTGCGCCATTGGGGGGCATTAAATATATAGGCTTCTATTTACTGATGGATTGTGGTTTGAGAATGATTGCCTTCCCAGGGATGCACATTTTCCTCACAGAGTGTGAAACATTATTCGGACTGGCTTTTTTTATATTCCTTTGGTCACACTTGAGCTATAGTTAGCAAATTGATAAGGTTCCACTGTTAAGCTTTATTGCCAGTGACACGAGCCTATGACACTTTATAAAAAGAAGTAATCCAGAACAATCTCTAGGTAATTAACACCTAGATAAACAAACATAAATTTCTATATTGCATTTATTTAGACTACCACTCAAATATGCGTGAACCATGCTTTTTTAATTAAAAGATAAATCTATGTGACACTTCGCCTCAAACTTAATTATTCAGCATAGTATAATAAAAAATCGGACCCATTAAACTTGTCTTGCTCTGTATGCCTGTATTAACAGCAAAACAGTTCAGTCTGGGTCATTTAAATTTCCTCTCGTCTTCCTCTTTCTGTACGCTTCTCCGATTTTTATTCAACTAGCAACACCAACAGGTGAGGGGTAGCAAGACTTATAAAAATATCAGTGTGTGAGCACCTACAGAGGCAGGTAATTATCGTCCCTATAGAGATATTTCACTTAACGGAGTGATATTACTGAACGTCATGGTCAAGTTAACTTGGATACATGAACTCATAACCTTTAGTATTCTAGTTCCTGCAGACTACAGCTTATTTTTTTTTCTCGGAAACCATAAAAATACATTATTTCACTGGTATTTTGCAGACGCTCAATCTTGCGCTGGGTTAAAAATAAATAAATAAATAAATAAAAATATCTTAAACATTTGAATAGAGAAATCATTTTGTATAGCAAAGCATAGATGCTTTCTCACAACAGGAGCCCTCGAGATATGTTGTAACACATTGTTCAGCATGCAGATGTTAAACCGAGAATGAAAGAATTGGAAAAAAAAAAAACAAATCTATTCCCCAATCAAATTAAATAGTGATGTTACCAGCTAAATATACTCTTGCAGAAATATACAGTATTGTAAAATATTTCGGTGTTAAATTATAATGTGTCTGTGTGATTTAGCATGTGCGTATTAAGAAAAATAAAGTGCTATGCAGGAAAAAAAGATGCAATGCTCCTGGTGTTGGGGTACGAAGAAAGCACTCACCTATTCAGCAGCTTTCTGGAAATGTTTTTGAACAGCTGTTTATTGATCAATTGTGAAAGCATTATAAAGTATTGTTCTTCCAGGCATAACAAAAAAAATGGTTGGCAGTGAAAAAAACAAGAAAAGATGTAGAAACAATTCTCGTGATTGTTTTACGTAGTTTGGAGAAATGACTATTCATGCTGGGGAATATGTGCCTTTTTTGTATCAAGTGTGATTTTTGGATTGACGGTATAAATCAATGAGGCAAGTACAAAATATAAAAAAGTGTAGATAATTAGCGCCACTCTAAAAAGACATTGGTGAGAATATTATAACCAACATAAGATGCCTTAAATAGGTCTACAATAGATAGATACACTTAAAAAATGGGATAGAATAAGAGACCTAAAATATAAATAAATATAAAATAAGATAAATAGAATAATAAATAAAATATAAATGAATGCATTCATGTCCAAGATATAGAGTCCAATAAAAGATGATGGTAAATACTTTCCGGAGGAGCAATAACAAACTTGTTCAAGGAAAATTGTCTTGTTGGGATATCAGATGCAGTCCGTATGTGGAAAGATAATAGAGAGGATAAAAGATTAAAAAAAGAGGATAATGGTGCAGTATGTCCAGAAAATATAAAAATAAGAATAAATATATATAAACGCAAAACGCGTTGTGGACTTTTAATTTGTTTTAGTACTGTGTCAATAAAGGTATTTTGGCTACTTTTACATTGAGTGTGCCATTTTACTCTTTTTACTCAGTTATTATTCTTTTATTATTTTATTGCCTGGTATCCTGATTTTACTCCCAGCAAGAACTACTCAAGAAATCCTTAGGTGGGGGTTATTCCACCCATGCCCTATCCATAGAGCAGTTTGTCTGCTCTGGCAAATGTGAGTAATATTCTCTTATTTATTCTTCTGGTTGATTTTATACAGTGAGCACTATTGTTGTTTCTTTTTATTTTTTGGTCCACACATCATTGAAACCATTCTTCACGTATCCTATAAGTGGGGATTGTAGGACCATATATATTTGTATTCTTATTTTTACATTTTCTGGACATACTGCACCATTATCCTCTCCTTCTTTCCACATACGGACTGCATCTGATATCCCAACAAGAAAATTTTCCTTGAACAAGGTTGTGATTGCTCCTCCGGAAAGTATTTACCATCATCTTTTATTGGACTCTCTTATACATATGTATATTTAGACAAATGGAGGTTATTTAGTTGCTCCAATTGCCATTGGAGGGAATGCCCGCCTGCCAACGTCAAGGCAGACCCCCGTAAGAAGGTCCTAACACTGACCCTTCAGCCTGCTTCCTTGAGCTTCTGGCAAAGATATCTCTAATGAGACAGAGAGGGGTATTTTTTATATACACCCCTATATACTTATTAACCCTTAATAGGGAACACATGGGATGGGCGGCAGCAATGTAACAAGGCTGTGTTATACAAAGTAAATACAAATACAAAAAGAGAAGTCCTGCGCTCACTCCCATCACTACTGGGCCGGCAGCAATGACTACAATACACATCAGCCCCAATATATAGTAAAAACCAAAGAAAAAGTTACCTGCGCTCTCTCCTTAATCCCTATGTATATTTAGACAAATGGAGGTCATTTAGTTGCTCCAATGGCCAATAAGTATATAGGGGTGTATATAAAAAATACCCCTCTCTGTCTCATTAGAGATATCTTTGCCAGAAGCTCAAGGAAGCAGGCTGAAGGGTCAGTGTTAGGACACGCTTAGGGGGGTCTGCCTTGATGTTGGCAGGCGGGCATTCCCTTCAATGGCCATTGGAGCAACTAAATGACCTCCATTTGTCTAAATATACATAGGGATTAAGGAGAGAGCACAGGTAACTTTTTCGTTGGTTTTTACTATATATTGGGGCTGATGTGTATTGTAGTCATTGCTGCCGGCCCAGTAGTGATGGGAGTGAGTGCAGGACTTCTCTTTTTGTACTTGTATTCTCTTATACATATATATGTATATGGACATATATTCATTAAATTGTATCTTATTTGTTATTATTCTATTTATCTTATTTTATATTTATTTATATTTTAGGTCTCTTATTCTATCCCATTTTTAAAGTGTATCTATCTATAGTAGACCTATTTCAAGCATCTTATGTTGGTTATAATATTCTCACCAGTGTCTTTTTAGAGTGGTGCTAATCCTTTTTTTTTTATATTTTGTACTTGTCTCACTACTATAGGGATAGAGGGATCCCCTTCCTTTTGGAGGAAAGCTGGCTTAATTTCACTTTTCCCAGTGAGTTTTATCAGCGCTGACCCTTTATAATGTTTCTATAAATCAATGAGGGCTATCTTTGGCAGATGTTTCTATGATACCATGTGTCTATGTTGTCACAGAGCTGAAAGACATTTAAGGAATTTTGTGTTGCTTTCAATGCCTTAAATCCCTAGATTTAGGGTTATTGTGTGATGGGAGAGCATGCACAATACTCTGACTATTTTGGCATTAAAGGAACACTATATCTTTAGGAATACAAATATGTATTCCTGACGTTATAGTGCCCTAGTCACTGTTTAGTTAAAACAGATATTTGACTTACCTTTCTCCCTCACGCAACCAGTCTCCTGTGTGAAGCTCCCATAGGAAAGCATTGGGTGGCTAGTGCGCATGCACAGCAAAACTCTACGCTGCGCCAATCAGATGGTCTCTATGAAATAGCAACATTTTACTCTGCTATTTAATGGCTGTTCCTCTAGTGGCTGTCATATTGAAGTACAGCAATTTGCAGCTGATGGGTTAAAACGGAAGCACATGGCACCCAGACCACTTTATTGAGATGAAGTGGTCTTGGTGCCTATATTTTCCTTAAAATATGTGAAATAGAGCAATCGTTGAATTTAATGACTCTGTTTCCAGAGTCCAAAACATGGTACACTGTATAAAGCAAATGTTCAGCTTTGCATCTGTCCAGAGAATAAATTAAATATGTCTGGTTGCAACAAACATTTTTTGGGGTATGTTTACTTCTAATTGCAACACTTGTAGTTGAATCACTGTAAACCACTTTTTCTCTTGATAGTCGTTTTAGTTTATGGGTGCATTAAATCCTACACTTTCTAGAATACTGTGGCGAAACCAGCCTCACCACTGTCCACTGGAGGAGCCTGGTTGCTCGCCTGCTCCCTTTAGACTATGGCCCGGCAGTTAAAAACTTTTATTTTCCCTGCAGAAAAGCGTATTCGTGCCTTTCTGCGGACTGTTAAAGCCATGCTACCCCAGATAGCTATGCCATGGAGCCCAGCCGTATACTGGAAGACTGTATGAAAGACTTTGGATCCATGGCGATTGAACTGTATGTATATGATCTGAGCGCCATCCGGTAATAATGTGCGCTCAGATCTAAGCTATCTGGGGATAGGTAGAATGTGTATGTTCTATGTCATAAATGTAACAGTATGTAATTTTATGTCTTTCATTGTCCTTTGTCTGCCATGTGGATAATGGAGTTTTGCCTCTGTCCTTGGAGATAATTGGATTACTTCCCAATTACCTCCAGGACAGAGAGGAGGGATTGTGATGCATTGTGGGAGTGTTTAAAGGTGTATGTCTGTAATTGGTCAATGTCCAATATGTTTCCCAGTTTCCCATCTGGTCCCCTAGGGGAGTGTCCACCAGGTGGGAGACCTGCATAAAAGCTGGGCAGGTAGCCCCAGTAAATCAGTTCTGCTTGACCTCAAAACGAAGTGTCGTCTCGTTATTGGGGGAATTGGATTGTATGCTGATTGCCAGGAGTGTAAGCCGCTTGGGTGCTTTTCCTGTTCGGCTGCTAGTAGCTATTCGTGAGGTACCAGTTCGTGAGTTTGGAGTACTGCTTTGTATCCTGTTCGGGAGTTTGGGGTTCTGCAGTAGCTGTGCCTGTGTCTCTGGAAGGGAAGATCTACTAAATGGCGATTTAACCCCTTTTGTGCCTGGGGGTGCCGTTACAATTACCTATTCGTATGGTTTTTCCTATTCAGCTGCTTACAGCATTCATATGCTTGAGAGCATTCATATGCTTCTCCGGTTCGGTGGTTGTGGTGTCTGCTGCAGTGCTTGGAGTCCTCAGGAGGCGCTTGGAGCATCCTTCAACAGAGGTACCCAGTCGGGGTGCCAGGTGATCTGTTACAAATACATTTTCAGGGTTATTCGCTAAATTGAGTCTCTATGAAATAGAGATTTAATGCCAGAGTAGTTAAACTGAGAACATTGCTGGCTTAGAGAATATTACCAGTTCTGCTATTTTGAACTTAAATTTTAAATCCACTTTAAATTCACTTTTAAATCTCACTTCAGTGAATAACACTGTTTTCAATGTAATTTTCAATGTAAGCAATGTCTATGTCCGTCAAGAAGCCCAGGCCAATCATGTACAGCACAGTTCAGGATTTTGGATTGGGGTATTTCCAGTGGGGCTGTTAGTTAATACAATCTGTACTCCATGGGACATGTGGGGACTAGTTTAGGAACCATTGCATTAGGTGCCAAAATTAACATCACTCAAGTTCTCTTTAAGTTTGTCAGGAGGCCATCTTACCTTCGGGTTCATAGAACTGCATCTAAAGGAGACAGTAGACTGGAGCTGGGTTTGTGCCGGATCTGAAAAACTTTGTTATGATCTTACGTTACACTTGGTTAATCCTATGAGGCAATCTTAGTAGAAAACATGGAATTACTTGCAGGACAATGGACGCATTTTACAAGTGCGAATAATTCTATACTGTATTGTATATCTTATAATTATTGAATTGTATCCCCTTTGTATGTATGCCATTATATATATAGTAAATGTAATTGTTCAAAGCAATTGATCCATCCAACAGAACGATTATGCATTGTGCTATTTCCCAGCTCTCTAATATTCAAATCCCTATCATATTATTTGAACCTGATTTTAGAAAATTAATGAGTTATCTCACACAAAGCAATAATGATAATGGTGTTACTTTATTGAGAATTGACAACTGTATTGTCAGTTATCACTAATCATTCAGTAAGTCATTACAAAGCTCATCTAGGTGTTAGAAGGGAATTATATCACTAAATAAACTCCCTTCCCTTCATCCGAACTGTAACTTTCTAACTGGTGGGAGGTTCAATTTCCATTCGTGTATTATTATTTTTTTAATGTTTTTGTTTTTTGAATTTGGTCATTATTACCTTGCCATTATACAGAGCATTCTATATTCTTTAATCTGGACTGATCTCAGATGACAATCTATACTCTGTGTGGATTATTTAATGGTATTCCCTACAGACATTTAATGGCATTACAGTGTGCAAATGTAAGTGTATTTTTTTTTAAGTATTTAAAATGAACTTTAATTTGCTGAACAAAAGTAATAAAAACAGAATATAAATACACAAAGGAGTCCCACTTAACGCGTTTTGCCACCTTAAAGGGCTTCTTCAGAAATGTGGTAAGGTCCTCACAGCATTCTGTTTATATAGGGTGTTGCTAAGTGAAGATTGCTTCCTGGTGATGCTGGTTTCCGGTATTTTGTAACCATTGTGGAACGCACACGTCACATCGGAGATAACACGGCGTGTTCTTTGTATGGTATTAGCTAACAAATGTAACTGTATTATTTCCCCATGTTTACAATATAAAATAAACAATCTTGTAAAATGATTAAATAAACTTGCTCTGATTTGTGTGTCTGTATATACAATCCAAACCATGACTGTGATGTACAAATGTAACCTGTTAATTCTTACGTACCTGCAACAGAATGATTGAAGAACTTGCACCTGTCAGCTCTGAAGCACTCGGGTGAATGACTATTTGATTTACTTATTTAGCGACGTTAACAAACTCAGGAGCTGAACTTGTGTGCAGGAGTTCATTGACACAAAGCTTTCATTTTGTATTAAACTCGATGTAGTCAAACGTAGCACATTAGCTGATGGGCTGTAAATCTATTGGATCTTAGTTACCTGTAATTATCATATCTTAGATCTGCTGGAGACATCACATCAATGGAGAATGAAAAACACTTGCACTGCTGAACAAATGGGGTTTCTACGTCATCTTTACAAAACAGGGGATGGGTCTAGGCCAGGGGTTCCCAACCCAGTCCTCAAGTACCCCTATCGGTCCAGGATTTTTTTTTCTAAAAACACCTTCAACACAGCTGTGTAATCCCTAAAAAAAACAATGAAAAGTTGTATGACTTGTATTCCTCATTTTATGCAGTTGATTTCTTTCTACTAATACGTTATAGGGAAATTGTAATTACGTATAACAATGGGCCCTGGGGTTGTAGGCAGTTACATATGGGCCATGAGTAAGTCTACGACCTCAGCTCCAAATATTCATCTGTTGGTCAGCTGGGTGTTGTGTGTGCTGAGAGCTCAGGGATATAATGTTATGTTACAGTGCATTCCATCCGTATTCCCGCATATCATAGAGGTCTAAGGCCTATTACTACTATTAATCCAGTAGGTCACCAATAACTGAAACCCAGATAATGGAATGAAAGGTGACTCTGCAACTTGCTACTCCTCTGTTATTGAGTCATGTCAGATGATTTCCAGGTCTGTGTGCAAATGTTCAGGAGAACCAACAATTGCTTTTTTTAACATTTTCATATAAAAACAATTACACATGCTATGGTAGTTTTATACAGTGATTTAATTAAGCACAATAATATATCTATCTAGAAGGTTTTGATAGATATATGAACAGTAAATGTATATGGAGTCTTGCGTAGCGTGGCCCAATTTTCTCACATACGATAACTCGTTTTACATTACAGAAACTACCTAACAAGTGTGAATTCATTTACATGTCAGACAAAAAAAAAAAGCTGCAAAAAAATAATGTTTCTCCTTAAAATCACCAGGTAAGAGAATGTTTTGTTTTTTGTTTTGTTAAGAGGTAGAGGGTTTATTGCGTAAAACACTGGATAAAATTGTACCGCTCCAAATACATTTTATTCTAACAGCAGGGAACAAAAAAGTATTCGCTGGGAAAAAAAACAAAAATAAAAAACAAAACATAAACAAAAAACTTTTAATACTTCTATACCAGAATAAATTTCTGACAACTGATGAACTTGTATAATAAATAATGAACAAGAATAAACTTTAAGTACAAAGTCGTCTACTTGTTACAAGCATAGCAACCAAATCCTCTACTCTATTGATTTCCAATTTGCTCCATGATAGAGAGAGAGAGAGAGAGAGTGTGTGTGTGTGTGTGTGTATAGACAGTATATATGACCAGAATCACAGACAACAAAATTTACAGAGAAATAATTTGACATGTTTAGATAAGGGAAGCATGATGGTACTCAGAAACTGACAATGCATCACTGTTGCTGTCACTGTTTGCATTACAAGTTACGAATGTTCTGGGAAAAATAAAATTGTCCATGTCAGGAGGTTGGGAAACAGGGACAGTAGCACCAGACGATATGAGAAGAAAGTACACACGTCACGATTAACAGGGAGATGATTCCAGTGTCACAAACAGAATTATTGCCTGTCTTGTTTGAAAATGCTCAGAGGACACAAAAAAATACTGAAAAAAAGACCCAAAAGTGCAAGGAACGGAATGTTTTTGTTTTTTTTTCTTTACGTTTTATTTCTTCCTAAGTTATGGAGGGTGGCGCAAACACACAAAGCAAGCGACTGACACAGTCACCAAACACGGTAGTGCAGTTAAAATCCTAAAGCTTACAATACAGTCAGAAAGTTTTTGTTTTTTTCCAAATAACATTTCATCCTTTTTTTTTGTTTGTTTTGTTTTTTTCTCACGAGGATCGTAGAAACAGTTGCATTTATTTATTTCTTTTATCGACTTGGTTTTAAGTAAGGCAGTGAGAACTATACTAGAAAAAAGAAATAAGCAGCGTTGCTCTGTATACCACGTGGATCCATTATATCTGTGACCTTGAAGGTTTCTGTCTCTGTCTGCAGGCAGTATAAGTAAATTGTACCCCGTTCATTGGCCGTGCTTCCTTTCCAGTCTCAGGGAAGAGGATTCCAATTGTATTTACATTGATTGCAGTTTAGGAGTTCTGCAAACTGCTTTAGGCAGAGCTAAGTTTTAAGGCTGATTGGGGTTACACCGTACTTCCAGCCCACCATAGATACATTGACTTCTTAATTCTAAAAAATTAGTTTTTTGTTACCAGAAACCAATGCACCACGTTTCTCCTTACCAAAATGAAATAAACTGGAGTGCTGAATCTGAATCCGGTTTCAGAATAAAAGATGGTTCTAGTGATCCACACATTATTAGATCTACTCTGTGTATGTAGAATTAAATGCTTGTCAAAAGGTTTCCTATGTGGTTAAAAATCAAATAATCTGGGTAATTTGATCAGTAGGAAAAAAAGGTAAAATCTTCAAAAAAATATAGCACACATTGTTAAAAGAAAAAAACAAACAAAAACAGTTAAATAAAAAGAGCTTGATTCAGTCAGTTTAATATATGTATTTCATCAATTTCTAGATATACCTACCTTTAATGCTGCATTATCTCTGTAATGCACCCAAAACAAACACAACATAGTCTGATCTGGCGGAAATCCTTTCATAGAATAAAAGTAAACAATTTTTTCACATACTAGTGCCGTCTACAGGGGCAGTGAGTAATTGCATTCCCTGGTACTGCGTTTCATCTCACCATTATAAAAAAAAATAAAAAAAAATAAAAAAAGATATTTTCTCTCGATACTGAGCATTGATCTAAACGAAAGTAACAAGGAAAGCAATGTAAAACATATCTGCATTGTTCAGTACCCTGCAGATTCAAGCAATTGATTTGTTTGGCTGCAAATGATGAAAAAGGCCCTGAAATGTAACTTAACATTCTTTTTCAATATGGTGCAGGTCACTCCTGACCCCAGACTGGGGGCCATCTTAGATTTCTCCTATAGTGCTGTTGCAACACCATTTCAATTGATTTTTCTCTATAATGATATCCCCAGTCAGGCTGGCACCAAAGCAGTCTACCAACTCATCTCATTACAATGCTCAGGATAATGAAAGCAGCTGGTGTCATATTATAAAGGTGTCTTCAACAATGAAAACACAGCCCCTCTATCTTCAAGGCAGCGTTTAATCATTTAGATTAGTATCGTTTTTCTGGTAAAAGCATTTGCGTTGGACAAGGACCACTTCGAAGTTTCAGAGCACTGACCTCTTTGTTACATTTTCTATCACTTCGCTTGTAAGGTTTTTATTTTTGGAAGTACTTGTTGCCGTATAACAGTTCCTCAGCCGTTTTAAGGGGTCGGGAATTTGTATATTTGACATTCACAATCTCCTGTACATGTCTGATAATTTTCGTGGAGTCCTTTCACTGCGATTTGCCCACAGTTCTTCTTTCTCTACACAATTAATTGAAGATGGTGTAAAATTATATTGCAATATACAGACTGGTAGAATATATATATATATATATTTTATAACAATCACTCCAGGACTTTGTTCCCATCCACTATAGATTGCGTTGCGTTCCCAAGTTTGATTGGAGGAAGTTCTTCAGAATTCCCAGAAGTGTCTGAGTCGATACGGGAGCGCTTGAACCTACGGTCAGGATACTGGCTGTTATCGAAAGGCATGCGATGCACACAAAGTACATGGGTCTTTAAATTTCCTTTCTGAGAGGCACTGTATGGACAATATCTGCACTGGAAAGGCCTTTGACCTGCACAATAGAAAAAGGAATAAAAAAAAAAACCATATTTTAGTATGTTAATAACTGGGTGCACAGTGATATTTTTGCATGCCAATGCGATCACCTTAGAACAATGATGGCTAACCATGGCTCTCTACATTTTTACGAACTACATTTCCCATAATCCTTAGCTAGTCTATAGGTTGATTGTGCATCCCAGAAACATAATTCACAAACATCTGAAGTGCCAAAATTAATCAGTGTAGCCAGGAATTTCTTAACCTGTGGCTCCTGCCTCCCCCAAAGAATATTTATAATGACTTAATTTCAGTACATGTTTTCTTTAAATGAAATATGTTTCATGCTGAAAATTAAAGTTGAAGCAATCTCTGTGCTGGGAGTTCATTCTGTGGCTTGGCACGCAATAGGGGTGCTTGTTTGAAAATGCTGTACATTAAATTTACACATGTAAATGAGGTGCACTAAAATGGCTCATCCATCATGTTCAACTCTTACCATTGTCATAAAACAACACTTTCAGGCTGGATAAAGCAGTACAATTGTTTTTGTGAGGACTGAAAACACTGGTAACTTTTTTTGCTTTTCTACAGTATTTTCTATCCTGTCCGTTTGATTTTAAGAAATTAGGCTTGAGGGCAAAACGGGTAAACATGAGTAAGCTTTGTTTATTATTAGTAGTTACATATGATAGAGGTCACTAACCAAGAGCTATAGCCAAGGCAAATACGTATGTGAACTTTAAACATAGAGAGACGTATATCTACATACGGTAAAAAACAATCAAAACCTTAGTAAAATGTGTTTATATAGTCACAGTATGTGATGCATCCCTAGCAGTTTAGTTATTGGTCCAATGGTCTGGGTAATCTTAACCTTCAATATATCACTAAGCATATGAAAAATCCATTTCCATTTTGTGGGATGGGGACGAGGACGAGGACAAGTCAGTCCAGGAAGAATGCACAAAAGGTTGTCAAAAACAATTATTGACTACTTGCATAAACTCTGCATGAAGAGACCACTTCTGAAGTGCTCTGACCAAGGGCAAAAAAGCCCTGAGAGCAACTTGTGCAGTGTTTCTAATGATGTGCTTGCTGGGGCCCATTCCCTGGTGTCATATATATCTGGGATGGTGGGACAGAAGCCCAAGACGGGACTGTTCCACTGGAATTGTTGGGAGGCTTGTAGTAATATGGCCCTAGTACATAGCAGTGATATAGAGGGGTATGCAAGATGTAACTGTGGGAAACAAATACCATCTGGAAAACAAGTTTTTAAAAATCAATTCTCTAGTAGAGGTAGAAACTATCTGAACTTACTCTTCCTCCTCCAATATTTTGCTCCCACTAAAATCAATAAGAATAATTGCATGGATACATAACATTGACAAGGTGAGCATAGATTAAAGAGATTCTGAGGTTTGTAGGCACATGGTTTCAAAATATGTTGAGGTATTTCGAAAGATAAATACCTAATAGTTGAAATTTTTATTTATCAAGATCTGAAATTGTGACATTTTTGTAGCTAAACCTCTCAGCCCTCCAAACACCCATGATTTTTTGAGGCTTTTTAAATGCTGAAATTTTTCCAACAGCTGTCTTGTTAATTGAAAGTTTTTAAAGTTAATTACCTTCTGACATGTTGATTTGTCAGACACGGTGTCAGGATACATCAGTCACATTGTATCCCTAACGTGATACTATTTGTGGTGCCAATAAGTATTTTTTTTTAGCTTAGAGTGTTTTGAAAACACTTTTATGGTGATAACCATTTAGATTGCTCTAATTAGATTTATATTGGCGTAAATAATATAATTTATGTAAGCACTCATCTTGTACCCTCTGAAGTAGGAATACAGAAAATAAATATAATACCATCAGTTGAGCACATCTAAATATTTTATTTTAAGATCTTTTACTGAAATAATTTTATTAAACTTCATTTTTTTAAAGTCCATTATAAATTATCCATTTATATTTTTTTTTACTAATTTTGTACAATATTCAATTTGATGTTTGAATGTCATTACTACATAATGTAATGCAATTAAATAATACAAATTATTTTATTTATTTTAAAATATCTTTTGACTTCTCTCACTGTTTAAGACATACGGATTACTATTTCTCCTTCAAAGTAATTTATTTATATGACTATTTCATTAAATCAGTGATAAGTGCAACTATCATTAAATCAATGTAATTCTGAAAAGAGACACAAAAATCAATAGTTATATATATTTATACTTAATAAAAACAACAGCGTGTAAGATTTATTAAACGCATTTATAATAAAGGGAATGTAAATGCCTTGAATTTGATGTAGCATGAGAGGTTTCCATGCTAAGAAAAGTTTCACGTACAGATTGGATAGACATGATGAAAGTTCTTCAGAGTTACAGTTTTGCCACAGTTGGGGGCTTACACAGAGATATCCCTGGTTAATGCAGTATTTATCAGTGTTCGCCAAATTAATATGTAAATTGATGATGATCATTGGAGCATGTAGTGGATTCTTTTTGTTGCAAGGCCTCTTTGTCTTTATTGTTTCTGCTGCTAGAGAAATATGCAAAATTCATACAGTGTAGATGCATCACCAAGACGGCAGGCTGTGATTGGTAAATCCGCTTTTTAAAAATATTTTGTAATAAGACCGGGCTGCCATACTACATAGATAAGTGCTCCTATAGTTCCATGTACCAGGATGGTCATTTCTTCTTCAGCAACAGGGCCGTCTTTAATATTGATTGGACCCTGGGCAAGCATCTGCTTGGGCCCCCTGGGCATGCAATCACTCCCTCCACCCCAACCTAGAGGCGAAACTAATGTAGAGAGTGCCTTGGTGCAAAAAAAAAATAATTCAGGCCTGCCCTGTAGCACAAGAGTAAAGAAAAGATAGATCCCCATCTGTCATACAACTCCTGCGATGCTATGCCAGGTGGGGATCTACCATCCTTGCAGGGTTGTATTTTTGAGCAGTGTTTGTGCAATTTATTGTATAGAGTGTATGTGTGCATGTAGGGGTGTATTTGTATGTACTGTTACCATTGGAATGCAGTACCATTGGAATGCAGTGGTGTACGTTTGAATGCAGTAATGCGTGATTGTCTGTAGTGTTGGCTTTTAAATGCAGGTGTACTTTTGTGTGTAGAGTTGGTGTTTGTATATAATTTTAGTGTTTTAATACAGGAATGTGTTTGTATGTAATGTTTGTATTTGCATGCAGGGGGTTGTTTGGATGTAGTGTTGTGTACATTTGTGTGTAATATTGGTGTTTCAGCAAACTGGTGTGTTTGTATGTAATGTTTGTGTTTGCAGGGCTCTGTTTGCATGTTGTGTAATTTCTATAACACATATACACATACACATTAACACGCAGATACACACATAGGCACACTGACACATGCTCACACCTTGACACATACTGGCACATACACACACACACTCAGATACACACCCTTTGACACACAGATACAAGCACTTTGATACACACACACACTGGCACATCCACACACAGAGGTACACACACACACTGACACAGGTATGTACACACACACTCAGATACACACATACATAAAGGTATAAATGCAGGGGTGTATATGTGTACAGTGCTAGAGATGGAGTGTTTTTTGTGTTGGCATTAAAATGCTGGGATGTATGCATTACCACACACTCAGATGCACACTTACACACACTGACACATACATACACACACACACAGGTACACATACACACTGACACACAAGTACACATACACAGGTATACATACACACAGAAACACTGACACACAGACAAACACAGCCAGATACAAACACTGACACAAACACAGCCAGATACACACACTGACACAAACACAGCCAGATACACACAAGGACATAAACACAGCCAGATACACACACACATATATGTGTACATTTACATATTTTAATCTCTGCCTTCTAGCAGCTCTTGGACAGCAACTCCCAGCAACCTTGGCCATA